CAATGCTGCCCAAGTACTTTGTACCTAAGACGGCACCATGAATAGCGACATTGTAAACTTTTCACCTTACTTCTATATCCCTGTACTTGGGAACACATGACAATAAAACCAAATTCTAATTTATTCTACATTAATAAACCTACTGTACAGCCAATTGAATTAACCATTCATGGTAATTTCAAATAAACTGACGTTTCTGCGTAACGTGTTCTTTAGCTTAATCCAGGCAATCTGATTTTCTATCTATAAACTTGAATTAGATTCCAGTTTATAATACAGTCCTGCAAATCAATGACTTTTGATACATAAGCCAGCTGAATCCTTCAGTTAGATTCTAATCAGTCCCAGTTACAGTTTGATTAAATCTGTCCAAAATCTACCCCTCAACCAACATCATTAAACCATTCATCCTGCAACAGCTTGGTGGGAGCTTGCTGCCATATTTCTTACATTAAGACAGTGACTATGTTTCAAAGATACTTCATTGGTTTTGGTGTGTCCTAAAGATAAGGTGACATCGAAACACAGATATCCTCTTTCTGGAAATATTTGCACTCCTGAGTTAGACTCCAATCTGCAAACTGCAAAATTCCCAAGTAAATGTTAATCTATACAAATATCATGACTCCGTCAATTATATTCCAGACTTTAATTTGCCCCTGGATATCCATTATATCAATATGTAAACTATTCAAATCCCCCCAATTAGATTCCAGGCTGTATCTCACTCCTAGAATGCCAGTATTCTAAAAATAAACTATCTTAGAGCCTCATTTAGATTTTAATCTGTTGTTCCCTCAGGTATTGGTTATTCTATATTTATAAACCATCTAAGTCTGTCAATTAGATTCAAGTTTGTGTGTATGTTATAGAAAATAACCTCATGGCCTTTGTTAAATTCCAGTCTGCAACTTGTGCCTGGGGTAGCCTTTACTAGGTATGTCAGTTTTAAACTTTCCAAAGGACACCACTGATGATGGCACCTAATTTTTCAAGATAAAAGACAGAAGTCGCCACATTGTCCTTTGCTATGCAACTTCCAAACATTCCACTTTGTATATAATTTATTCCCCAATGAAGCAACGGATATTAAGTGCATATTCAATTATGTCACTGACTGCATTTCCTGGCCTCAACCCTGACCTCTCTACAAAGTTGTATTCAGGATTCATTGCTCTTCATATTAAAACTGTAAATCTTCTGAAACAGTTCCATTGGTACCGAAAGGTGGTCATAATCTTACCAACCCAACCATTTTCCAAATCAGCCGAGCCACTGTCAACAGATGGAGATAAATTTGTCACTTGGAATCCACAGATACCATTCTCACTAAGAAACAGTAACTGGGAATGGAAATGATGCCTCATTTACTACTACCTAGTTCATACGCAATTCCCAACCACTGCCGAGATAGCTAGCTCAGCATGGAGCAGGAATCCATCCCAGGATAGACGAGAGAAGCCTGACAGATTTTGATAGAAGTTTTCCCAAATCATCAGGAGTCTGGACAGGGCAGACAGGGAGAAACTTGGTCCCATTTGTAAGAGGATCAAGAACCTGAGTGCATGGTTTTAAAGGGTTTTGCGAAAGAAGATGAGAAAAAAACTTTCATTCAGTGGGCAGTTAGGTCTGGAAGGCACTACCTGGAAATACGGTGGAGGCAGGTTTAATTGAGGCATTCCAAAGGGCATTGGATGGTTATTTAAACAGAAACAATTTGCAGGGTCATGGGGAATAGGCAGGAGTTTAGCATTAAATCAAAATGCTCAGTGAGCCAGTGCAAACACGATGGACCAAATGGCCTCCTTATGCAGTGGTACAATTCCCTGATTTTCTACAGATTGAGTAACACAAATCCAGCACTGTCAGGGATCAGGCTGTGTTGCATTTCTGACATTTCACCATTTCAAGTCAGGTGGTTCAAGCCATTGGAAATTCAGGTCAGGCTGGGTTCAAGGGTCACTCAGAATGTGGGACAGAATGGGACATGATGTGGCAAAGCCAGCAACTGCTCTGGAGTTACACCACGCTAATGCAGCACCTCACTGAATGTCCAGGTAAGTTTTCTTTAAAGGCAAATTGGACAAACAAAAGTGATACATGGCGTATTATTAAAACATCTTCAGATGCCACCAGTTTTTGGGTTGCTGGATTCAAGATCGTCTATAAAACAATCCATATGTGTTATGGATATATCTCACTATAAGTGGCTAGTTTTTATACTACCTGTTCTATATAACTAACTATACATTGAGTGAGAGATAGGTGGATATTATAGAAATCCACACTAATTATCTGTAGAATTGTTTAACTTTTCTGGATTTCCATTATGTCAGACCTATTTTACACCATATTTTATTAAGAATGTGAAAGTACAGCTTCTACTTTTGTTCAGGAAACATTAACACCAATTCTTTAACCCTCCTGTCATCCATAGCATTGTTATGCAGGTCTACCATCATTTCATCTGGTTACACCAAAACAATGTCCTCTATCCAGGATAATTAATGTTGTGAAAATTGATCTCAACATATTTTGACTGTTATTTGCATTGTTATAGATTCCCAAAATAAAGACACAGGTATGAAACTCAGCTGTGGCTTATTACAATCATCCTCAATGTTCAACGGTCAGTGAATAGATCACATAAACATCAACCATGTTTTTTTTCTCCTGGTCACAGTCCCACAGCTCTTACTACCAAGTGCCCCATGTGAATACAGTGTAGGAGACCATTCTACCCACTTGCCAACTCTTCTCAAAAGGGATGCAGTTAGTTTTCATGTTGCTCTTTCCCCATAGCTCAGCACAAGTTTCCATTTCAAGTATTTCCCTTTTGGAAGTTACTATTGACTCTGCTTCCACAAGCAGCACATTCCAGATCAAAACTCACTGACTGGGTAAGGAAGTGTTTCAGTCTGCATCTTCTGCCATTGGAACATTGACTCTATCTAAGCATAAGTTAAGCACTTCCATAGATGATCAGTAAACACACCAACGTATTTCATAAAATGTCTGGGCAAAGAACTGTAAGGAACAACAAAAGATTACTGATGTATACAACTCTCATTATCAAGCCCCTCCCTCACAAACGTGTGAAGTTTTTGGAATTATGCCAATTTTTAGGATTTCATCCCATAAGTTGTACAATTCCTTTAACTTTTCCCTATAACTTAAATTCCTAATAATTAGAGTCACCTTGCTCACTTTTCTAACTTCTGAAGGGCAGTAATCTGGCTGGGAGATGAAAAGGTACAATGTTGAGAGGTAGGAGATAGCAAGGAATATGGATTTTGGAAGTCAGAGTCAATAAAGTGTGGAGCTGGAGGAGCAGGGGCCTTCATCAAACTTGCATTACAGTGAGAATGAAACAAGGATGAGTAGGCCCTAATCAAATACTAACTCCATGACTCTGGCTATTAAATATCGTTCAGTTAATGATTAGTTAATAAAGTGTAAATCAGATTTGAAGTGTTGTTGTCAGTATTTCATGTTATAATGCAATCTAACTAGGGCCATAGATATGTATCTTCAGCTGACATCAAAATGACATGCATTTCTCAGCAGTGATCAATCAGGGTGAAATTCCAGCTCTCAGGATTCCACACAGATGTCCCACAAAACAACCAAAGCCTAAACCCTACACTGAGGATTGGAACCAGGAATCTTACTGTTTCAGTCACTTGGCTCTGTAGTGGAGCGACGGTTTAAAGGAGATTGACAGGTCAATCAGGATCATAAGAATTTAGGTAAGTGGTACTCATTAGAGAGCATCCAGCTCTCCTGTCCCTCATTTGCTACTTGAAGCATCACTGGGTGTGTATTTGAGGCCAGCCTCTTTGAATGACATCAAACAACAAAAGCCAAGCCAATGCCAGGAGGAGACAAGGCTATGTCAGCTTCCATTCAAGTGACGGTGTTCCACTAAAATATCATTTAATAGAACTATTGGCACTAATCGTAGCTACACAAATCCTGATGAGACCAGGGTTTATATTCCTCATGAACATCCTCCCCATTTACATCATTTAACACCGTCAGCATTTCTTTTCATTCTTTTAATCCAAATTTTTACCTAACTTCCCTTTAAATGTAGCTTTAATAACCACCCACTAAAACTCTAGAGTCTGACTACTCTCTGGGAGAGAAGTTTCTCCTGAATTTCCTTGCAAAGTGCATGTGGTTTTGATGTCAGATGAAGATATTATTTTATATTTGCTGTTTGGTCTCCCTCACAGTATAACATTTGTGACGTTTTGTGGAAAATGCTGCAAATTGCAGGGGTGCTACTGAAATGCAGAGCTGATCATGCGAGGAACTGATGGGTGGATACATGGCCCATCATTAACTACTGTACTTCACTCTTCACAGCTGGTGGGGGGGGGGCAACTCTTCCACACCCTCCCAAGGGAGAATACAGCATGTATTTATAAAGCACCTTAATTGTAAGAAAAGTTTTCAAAGCATTTAGAGCGAAGTTAGCAAACAAAATCTGATCGTCAATTACTTGCTCAGTCAAAGAGGGAGGTTGAAAGGATTAAGTTTCAAGGTAATCAGGTTTAGAAATTGAATTCTTGAGTTTAAAGAGAAGAAACTGCCAATAATGGAGAAATTGATAACAGGAACTCGCAGTGCAGCAGAACTGGAGGAATACGCAGTGATCTCAGAGGATGGTGTGGAGCCAGTGGACGTTACAGAGTTGGAGGTAAACTTGGACATTGAGCTATTTGAAGATAAGCATGAGAATTCTAAAACTAAGGCTTAATATGACTAATAAAGGTTAGCAAGGACAGAGGTGATGGGTGAATAGAGTTTGTTATCAGTTACGACAGGGATAGCAGAGTTCTGAAAAACCTCAACCTTCCAGAAGCTAGAAGGTGGAATGCCAGCCAATAGAGTGCTGGACCAGTCAATCCCCCAGGGCAGTGAAAATGCCAAACCACCCTCTTCCCCAAGGAGATGATAGCCTACAATCTGAAACAAAGACTTGGCACAACTGATTTATAATGCAAATACTTTATTATCAATGAGTGACTCATTTTGTTGTTTTACGGGTAAGTTAGCTTTTCGTCTGGGTACTAAAAGTACGGCAGAACTATACACCAAAACTAGGCTCTGTTCCCATTTTTGCTGTATAATTTAATCTGATGTTGAATGAGCATATATAAACCAAAGTGCATTTTCCTGTTGTGTTCTGTATTCATACACATTGCACCATACATAAATAATTACAATGTAAAAATGACTCCATATTTACAAGTACAATATATATTTCATATAATATATAAAACTTTATATTAAATCTAGGTAGATGATATTTGGAATAGTCTTGTATTTTTTTTCTAATATAGGATTTCATTCCTGGAGGGTGACTGTTATCTGCTACTGTTCAGCATTATTTCCAGCCAACATGGGCAAGATGTTATGAACTGTCTCGAATAGCAAGGTCCCCATCCTTTTGCAAAGCTGATTCGAACACTGTTGGGATCATACGGTCCGTCTGCATAATCCGTATCTGCGGCTTGCTGCAGCAGGCAAGACTTTTCATAGTCAAAAACCTTTATTGAGTATCCTGGCATCACCTTCCGAACAATCAAAGTCCGAGAATTGGGAATGTCCAGCGTCGGGGAATTGACAAAGATTGGATGCTCGCTCCGGTTGTAGGCCCAGACCCCATCTGGCTCTCTGCTCAGCAAGATCCCATAGCCAATTTTGCTTCGAGTCCTTTTGACAGTCTCGCTCCTGTTGTGCAGGGCTAACTGTCCGAGGCAGAAGCCGTTCCCATGAGGTAGGTCATAGAATATACTGACAGACTGTTCATAAACGGTATACAGGCGGCCAACCCTGGTCCGATGTTCCCAGTATGCCACAATACACCAGTGGCATTGCTTCATTGTGTCGGGTGAGAGGCTGACATCTGGAAGGGAGAAGAGAAACCAAAACATTAGGACAATCCAAACTCATTTCACCAACACCTGACAAGAGGCTTAACATCAACTGGTAACCAGCAACATCCCTTCTCTAGGTAGCAGTCCTCCTTTCTACATTACTCATTGGCCCTCCCACAGACAGGCTAAACACCAGCACTCTTACTAGACTTGCAGGTTGATGGGTGGACAGGCATCATTTCACTCGAATGGTGAGGAACACCCAATGAAACATTCAGACTGTACAAACTCTGCTGAAGTGAGGAGAGTATTCATATACGGGTGGGTACAGGACAGCTGGTGGCTATGGTTGGAGCTCTAAGTGTGGGTGGAGGCAGGTGCGATTGAGACATTCAAGAGGGTGGAAACGCAATGCAAGCCCATGGGGGACATGATGGGCTGAACAGTCTCTTTCCGCATTGTACCATTTCTGTGATTACAGAAAAATTATGTAGCATTAAAGTGTGCTTAAGATCAATGTTCCCAAAGGCCACTTGTATCCATATCCATGTTAAACAAATTCATTCACTCCACTATGGTCTCCTTGACGATACAGTGGTTACGAAATAAAGTGAACACAGTAAGTTACACAACCTACTGTAGATAAGGGACCAATACATCACCTTTTGTCTTTGATATCGTGACTTCAGGTCTCACTGCAGAGCCTTGAATACTGAAATCTACAGCACTTGGGAGTGCTGCACAGTCAGAGATGACATTTTTTTTTCTTTATTCAGTCATGGGATGAAGGCGTCGCTGGCTAGGCAGCATTTATTGCCCATCCCTAATTGCCCAGAGGGCAGTTAAGAGTCAACCATATTGCTGTGGGTCTGGAGTCACATGTAGGCCAGACCAGGTAAGGATGGCAGTTTCCTTCCCTAAAGGACATTAGTGAACCAGATGGGTTTTTCCAACGATCGACAATGGATTCATGGTCATCATTAGACTTTGTTATGACACAATTTCAAAGAGGGGTAGGCGAGTTCTTTCATGTGTCCTGCCCAATATTTCACCTTCAAATCAACATCACTAAAAACATTATCTGGGGACTACCACATTGCCATTGTGGTAGATTAGCTACAATGGCAACTATTCTTTAAAGCTACTGAATTGGATGTAAAGTGCCTTGGGATGTCCTGAAAAGGTCTTACATAAACACAAGCCTTTCTTTTTCTTCAGCTCATTGTAACATGCAGTGGGAACTGGGGAATAATATTAAAGAATACCGGAAAACACATTGACATGAGAGAAGCAGTCAGTCTGGTTTGAAATAATATTGGAGTCTCTGACACAGAAATTTCTCACCATTTGTCACAGTCACTAATTATTAAACTAAAACTCCCATTTCACACGGCCCTTTTGTTGACATGATTTTTGGTCACAATTTTATGTCAACATTTGAACTGCCCAGATAAACGTTGAGCATCAAAATCCCCAAAATGGAAATATTGGTCTGTGAAGTTGCAGGTTATAATCTACAGAGTAACACCATGGAATGAGACTGTCACAATTTCTTGCCTTACGGTCTCGGAGAATCTGCTCACTTCTTACAAATGCTCTTCATTATTCTCAATTCGTAGCTAGGTTAAATAATAATTTGCCATGGTCACATTTGATGAAATTGCTGACCAGAGAACCATCCCTTCAGGAATGTAACTATCAGGTTGTGTAGATTTGGGGCCCTCAAAAGGATTCATAACATAAATGATGTAAATCATTCATTGATAACAACATATTGTCGATGACAGGACTGGATTCTCCTGTCTGACACTTGGGACAATTGAGTGACCAACTCTCAATCTATGTGGATATCAGAAGACCTCAAGTGCTTGGGGAAACCTGCCCAAGAAAACCATGTATGTTAAAGATTAAACAAGGGAACCCTGATACTGGTTTCATCAGATGTGCTGCTATGTTCAGCTTTTACAAATCTGCATTTATTGCCTGTCACAAATACCCTGAAGGAGAAGGCTTGCTCTCACCTCCTTAAGTCACTGTAGTCCACTGTAACAGTTTTGGTACACTAGATGTTTTGCTAGGCTACTTCAGGGGGCAGGTCGACATTAACCAAATTGCTGTGCAGTGGGGTTCACTGTAGGCCAGACTACTTGAAAAGTTGGAATTTTATGACATGGTCACCATTACAGAATACTAGGTGTTTATTCCAGATTTATTTAATGCACTGCATTTAAATGCTGCTGTCACAGTGGGATCTAAAGTGGTAGGGCTTATTTAGACCAAGTTTCTCAAATACTAGTCCAATAACAAAACCACGTTGTTGTCCCATATAACTGCAGCCTCAAGACTGACTGGGCCTTGCGCCTGGTTCAATGGTCAGGGCTGAGACACACAAAACTCAGCAGTGATTGTGTCTGGGAAATCCTAGCACATGAAGCCCGTTTCTTCTCAAAATTGTAACCTCTGACTACAGTAGAGGAAAAGTTCACCACCTCAGTGGTGGGATTCGCCCACTTTTCCCAATGTCAGTTTACACAATGTGAATCCCTGATCAATCTGACCCATTGCATCAAACTTCACTGTGAAAAAGTAAATGCTCAGAATTGCATCCAACTTTTCCTACGCAGCCTTGATATGTTTACATAAATTTTCCTGCAGATATACACACATTTATGTCATTTATCTCACTTAAGTACCAAGCATTTCACAGCTTTTACTATGTAGTCATAGTTTCAGGGGCAGGTCTAGTGGAGGCAACTGGGCTGATTTGTTAACAAAACCACACCAGTACATCCCATGTTAAAGTATGTCAATGAAGTCTGGCCTGTTTTCATGCCAATTAACTAAGCAGGCCCTCGTGAAAACACTGACTGGAGCCACTCTTGCTTATTAATATTATTCTTGATTAAAGCTCAATTGTCAGTGAATCCAGAACTTCTGGCCATTTGTTACATAAATTGTTCTGTAAAGACAAGTAAACACTTGCCAGAAAACAAGCTTTTCAACTGCAATCCCTTCTGCTCAATATCTTTATCATTATTCAGACCCTTTTGGACTTGCCAAAGAAAGGGAAGTTTGAACTATGGAATACTACAGTCCAGGATGAGGCCATTCAGCTCAATATGCCAAAGCAAAAGTGGTGGATAGACAAGATTTCCCCATTTGAGCCATAGTCTGCTCCAGCCAAGCTCCCCCAGGCATGTACATTTTTGTTTTAAAGCTAGGCCAGCATTTATTGACCATCCCTAATTGCCCAGAAGGTAAGGATCTAGGCCCGAAACATCAGCCTTTCTGCTCCTATGATGCTGCTTGGCCTGCTGTGTTCATCCAGCTCTACACCTTGTTAAGTTACATGTCTGGAGTCATGTGCAGGCCAGATCAGGTAAGGATGGCAGTTTCCTTCCCTAAAGGACAGTGAGCCAGATGGATTTTTCCAACAATTGGCAATGGTGACCATTAAATTCTTTATTCTAGATTTGTACTGAATTCAAATTCCACTATCTGCTGTGGCGGCATTCCAAACCAGGTCCCCGAGAACTTTACTTGGGTCTCCAGATTAACAGTCCAATAATAAGACCACTAGGCCATTGCCTCCCCATTATGAAGTACATGTTAGCAGTTCCCTCTGCACTGTCCCAGAGACTCGCTGGGTGGATACTGGAAGAACTAAAAACCTAACAGCACTCCCTTTACGACATTTAAATGCTGTTTCCTCCACTTCCCCAGACTGAGATAGGTACAGTTTTGTTAGTCAGGATAGTAAGAGATATGGAAATGGAGCAAATGGATGGAGTTAGGACCATGCTCATCATGACTTCAATGAATGATAGGGAGAGCGAATGCCACCCCCCACTTACTTTGGAATAACAATTTTCCATTGCCTGAAACATCCGTCTGTTACCACACTGCTAATTGGCGAAGGCTGGGTTAACAGAAAAATCTGACTCATCTCTTCCAAACATTTCAGGATATTATCCAATGTAAAGAACTGAAATAAACTGTGGGATCAGGGCTTTGATTTGGAGAGTGACAAATTCTATATGAAATATCAATCATTGGGGTTTCCTTTGCAAAGACAAAAAAAAAATCATGAGATTACATGCATCTGAAATTTCAGACAAAACCTAATCATTAACTTTACAATTCAAGTTATTACCAGGTCCCATAAAGTAGAAAAAGAAAGGACAAGAGTTAGGTTCCTGAGAACTATTCCCGGGATGGGAAATGTCAGTGAAAATGATAGATTGGAGAAGCTGAGACTGTTTCCCTTGGAGAAGGCCAAGAAGAGATTTGATAAAAATTTTCAAAATCATGAGGGGCCTGTACAGATTAGATATGGAGAAATTGTTCCCACTTGCTAGAAGGATCAAGAGCCAGGGAGCATAGATTTAAAGTGATTCACAAAAGCACCAAATGTGACCTTAGAACTTCTTTTTTTGCACAGTCACTGAGTAGCTAGCGTTTGGAATGTGTTGCCTAGAAGTGTGGCGGAGGAAGGCTCAATTGAAGTATTCAAGAGGATATTAAATAATTGTTTAAATAGGAATAATGTGCCAGTGAAGGAGGGAAAGGCAGGAAAATGTCTCCAAGTGCTAACATGCACTGGGGGAGCTGATGCAGGCATGATGATCCCCTTCAACACTGTGACAGCTGTGTCAACCCACTGAACTCTCCATTCTACACCAGCGAGGTGAACGTACATTATGGCAAGATCTGAACCCATCTCTCAGGAACATCACAAGGAATTAGGTTAAAGGGCAGCATTTGTGATTAAAGCAAGTGCACAGCAAAGTTTCAGACGCCTACATTGTGCACAACGATATCTCATAGGGGGTCAGCAGAAATTGGCTGAATGCCAATTGGTGCCCAGGGTATGAATGGACTCTTTATGGCACACCTCACCATCCACTGGAAGAGGCCTGTTGCTTTGATCAGTGGCATCCTCAGGCAGCCCAGCACTCCCTCAGTGCTGCACTGGAGAGTCAGTGTGGCATATCACAACAGTTCCACCTCCTGGAGGAGGACTTTTGCC